CTGTTCCTTACTTGCTATCTGTCATATGTCTACTTGTGAATTTCACGGTAGATTCTGTTTTAAAATAAATAATCACCCAATTTTCCCTTCCATTAAGTCAAGACTTAAAATAGATTTTAAAAATCTGAATACACTTGCAATTTGAATTCCTTAGAGAAAGTTAACATATGAAAACTGTTATCAAAATTCTTGACAGGACTTTTAATCATTACAGATTTATATGATGAGTTTTATGAATGACATAGAATAACAGAAATGTTCTTCCCTTTCTTTTAAGCCCTTGCCTTAAACTTTCTCACATGATTAATGCAGTATGTAACTCGGGGTATTTTTTTTCCCAGGGGGGTGGGGTATGGAAGCAATGGAGGGAGAGTGGGGAAAGCTAAAAAGCACAATAAGGCAAAGAAATTCTCACTTTCCATGGAAATACTCCCTACAAGGGCCAAGAGACTAACAAATACTAAACATCCCCACTGGAGAGGAGAAGCAAGAGTGTGCTCTTAAATTGACTTCGGAGTAGAGATGCCAAAGCAAATAAATCACTGCAAATGAAATACTCTGCAAGGTAAATGGGCTTTAAAAATATTTGTGTAGATTAAATTTTCTGATCAGAAGTATTCATTACTGTCGGATATGATAAGGGCACTTGTCCATCAGGATCTGGAGATCTCCTCCAGGTATATTAGTCAGTGTTTTTAGACCAATGCCTGGCGTGGCAGACACCCTCCAAAAATGTTACTGAGTGAAGAAGAATAAGCTAAAGTTCAAACATGTAATGCTTGACCTAAGCCAAAACTGTATTCATTTGAGTAAGAAGTCCCCAAAGTTCTTACATTCTTTCAATCCATACACATTTTTCATCAACATGAATTCCACAATGATGAGCAAATGTGAATACCTATCTGACTTAGCTACTCAAGCCATTAATAGAATAAAATGCAAAACAAACTTCTCTTTCCTAGGATCCTGTGCCCTTAGCCAAGTGCATCCTCCATGATGCTATGTCACTTTGTTTTGTCATTGCGGTGTGACTTACAACCCTCAAACCATCTATAAAGAATTTTAAGAGATGAACAGCACTTTTACAGGTTTCACAGTCTCCATAGGTGCTCCATTCTATTTTTTTTTTTTTTCCTTTACAGGAATCTTTTGTAGCTATAGTAAAAGGACTTCAGTCATCTCTCTGATTGGGGGTGACTGGAGTCACATTTACAGATAGATGTAACCTATTTGTGGCCTGGCACAACGTAATCCCAGCATTTTGAGAGACTGAGGCAGGAAGATTGCTTGAGGCCAGGAGTTTAAGATCAGCCTGGGCAACATATCCAGATCCTGTATCTACAGAAGAAAAAAATTAGCTGGGTGTGGTTGTGTGCGCCTTTACTCCTAGCAACTTAGAGCCTGAGGCAGGAAGATCGCTAGAGTCCAGGAGTTTGAGGCTGCAGTGAGCTATGATTGTGTCATTGCACTCCAGTCTGGGTGACAGAGTGAGACCGTGTCTCTAAAGAAAAAGAAAAGAAAAGAAAAGAAAAGAAAAAAGGAAAGGAAAGGAAAGGAAAGAAAAAAAGGAAATAACCTATTTGTCTTCCTAAACTCCCACTGGACATAGACCTCTGATCATAGGTCACCAAAGGCCTCTTCATTCTATAATCAGAAGTTCACTGAATACTCATCAAGTCACTCAGGCACTGGCCAAGAAGTCACCTAAGTGGATTTATCCATATACCCAGGTTCTATTATGAGAATGGCAATCCCCAAATCCCAGGTTAAGGGGATAGTAGCCCTTGTAAAATGAAGCGACTCCCATATGGTAAGAGGCAACCAGAATAAAGGGAAATAGAAGAGCGAAGCATGTAAAGTTGTAGGTGGGCCGGGTGCATCGATCATCTGGGATTCAGCCTACATCCTGGAAGCTGGTGTGGCTCTGCCTGGCCCCATAGATTGGCCTGGACTGCTTTGGTCTGGTGGGTTTCCAGAAGGGGGCAAACTTTTCAGTATTCCCTGCAGGATACACCAAAACAGAATCACTCTGTATCCCAAAGAGAAAATAGCCCTAAGGAAACCACTCTCCTCCAAGTTCATTTTTATAAACTTCCAGACAGATTCAGAAAGTACCGGACTAATCTAGTATCACTGAAATTGCTAAATAGTCATTTGGCTGAGAACAGAGACAGGTGAAATGGCCAAATTGATATCTCCTTCAGGGCTCAAACTGCTCTGGGAAAGGTATCGAGTCAAAAATGACTGTTCTGCAAGAACAGAGATGAAATGGAAGCACTTATCCTCTGAGGAGTGCCACTACCAGTGACTGCGCCCCTAGCAGCTAACACACAGAGCTAACTCATTGAATCTTACCCACTCACCGGCAGCGTTCTAAGTGCTTCACATGCATTCATTTATTTAATCCTCAAGGCAACCCTAACAGGTAGGAATTATTATTACCGTTCTGATTTCACCAGTAAAGAAGTGGAAACCTAGAGAGGTAAGTAACGTGTCCAGAGTTATTCAGCAACTAATGGCAAGCTGGGGCTCAGCACCAGGTGCGGTGTTTACACATCTGCGCCTCGCCATCTGCCTCGCTATCTTTTCCCTTCCCTGAAAGCTTGGAAGAGTGCCCTGTGACCAACCATAGACAGCTTGGTGAGGACAAGCACAGTGTCTGTGTGACACAGTGACACGTTGCCCACAGCTCTGGCCCTATAGGGGTGAGGGTTGCTCCAGACCCAGCTTCTCAGAGACCCTCCTCACTAGTCTCAGAACATTCCTACCAGCGCTCTGCTCTGCATAGATTCTCCGTTGAGCGAAAATTTAAGATTGCAGATGTCAAATGAATCCTAGATTATAAAAAAGAAAACCAGAAAGAACAGAGACCTGGCTGTATAGAAGGCTCTTCGTGCCACACCCAGGAAGCTTCCAGGGCAATTAGCAACATCATATCCCAAAGGAGCTTTAGTTCATGAAATTTCAGAGTTGTATGTTCATGCCTTAAACATTACAACAATCTTTTTTCCCCATCTAGTTTGTTTCTTTGGTGCTGGGCTTTTTGAAGTTGCAATAAAGAAAGGACAGGAAACACATTTGCAAATGATATTCAAAAATGCTGAAGTATTATCATTATTATTATTATTATTATTTTTGAGACAGAGTCTGGCTCTGTTGCTCAGGCTAGAGTGCCATGGCGTCAACCTAGCTCACAACCACCTCAAACTTCTGTGCTCAAGCAATCCTCCTGCCTCAGCCTCCTGAATAGCTGGGACTACAGCCATGCACCACCATGCCCAGCTAATTTTTTCTATATATTGTTAGTTGTCCAGCCAATTTCTTTCTATTTTTAGTAGAGATGGGGTCTTGCTCTTGCTCAGGCTGGTCTTGAACTCCTGAGCTCAAACGATCCACCTGCCTCGGCCTCCCAGAGTGCTACGATTACAGGAGTGAACCACCGCGCCCAGCCAAAAATGGTGAATTAAAGAGCTTCATTCCTTTTTTCTTTTAATTCACCTAGACTTAAAGGACAGACATTTTTCCCCCTGAGTATGTTGACAATCATTGAGGTGACTAAAATACCTAGTATATCTTAGCGAAAAGCTATTTTTAAAATCACTTGATTTCGAAAACTCCAATCACGATAATTTCGTGGGAATTCTTAGTACAAAAATTAAAAGTTTTAAATTACTCTGCAAACATTTATGAATTCAAATACTCTTAATTAGAAAATACCTGCATCGATGCATATGTATCAGGTGTCTTGAATGTCCCTGATGCAAAATTATTTTGAGGGTTGTTTTATGAGTTACAGTTCCTGTGGCCAATAATAGCAGAAATGATGAAATATGAGACTAGGAATCAAAAGTGTCATTTCTAGTCTCTCCCAACTCTGCCACATTTAATCTCTGGGCTTGAGAATGTCATTTAACTTCTCTTAGCCTGTTTCCTCATGTCCAAAGAGGAATAACAATTCCCACCTGAAAGCATTGTTTCATAGGTCAAATGAAATAATGTGTGAGAGAGTTTAATAAGCATCAAGGCACTGTAATATAGCATAATATTAAAATTACAAACCAAATGTGGTGGCAGTGTGGCTCGATGAGGAAAATGCAGATAGAGTCCGGTGTAGAAAGGAATCAACCTTGCTGAATGCTTTGCCAACCCATAACCCTGGGTGTGTCTGTCTGGCCTGAGTTCTCTCATTTGAGACATGAGAATGATAATAACTATCCCATAAGGATGATGTGGGGATTAGAAACAATCAGCCTTTAGCAGGGCAGGCACACAGTAGGTGTTCAATAAATGGCATCCATTTTACATTAAAGAATTCATTTAATCAAGCCAAGTATGCTACATGTTTCAACACCCACCAACAGCTGAGCAGTGCTCTGCTTAGAACAGTACATCCAAATAGCGGGACTCCCAAATATACTTCTGCCACGGCCAGCGCCCTGGGTTTATCCCACTTTAGGCTCTAGTGGCTTAAGGCTGTGCTTGCTGTATTTGCATTTCCTGGCTTAGCCCATTGCGTAGTAAAACCTACTAATGGAACTTCAATTTAGAGAATAAAATTAATACTACCCAATGTGGCAACTCCAAGTACAGGCTTTTTCCTCACCTGCTTTTACTAGAAACGAACCTCCTTCACTTTTTGCTACTTATTGAGGGCCAGGGGTGGGGTCCGGGGAACAAGATAAGGAAAAGCCCAAGGGAATCTTCTGTTACCGAGTCTGTTCAATCTGACCCAAATAAGCAGCCTTTGAGATCGCCTCCCCGGCTGCAGCGCGTTAGAGTCAGGCCCGTGGGGGCGTTCGGAGCAGCAAGCAGGAGCGGGCGCGAGTCCCACCGCGTCCAGCCAAAGCCAAGTGCGCCGGGCATCGGTCACCGAGCGGAGCGCGAGTTAGAGGAGTGGACCTGGGGAAGGGCACATGCAGTTGGGTTAGTCTTAACTCGACCATGCGGCTCTGCATTCCTGTTTGGCAAACGCGCTTAGGCAAAACAGACTTGATGCTTACAAGGATCCCAGCCCAAAATGGAGTGTCTCTGACTAGCAGGGAGGAGCTGGTGCTCGCCATGAGGAAGCCCACCACGGTCACGGCGATGCCCAGGGCCAGCTGCAGCAGCGCGAGCAGCAGCGGGAACCGGCAGCCGCAGCACGTCCGGGCCTCCTCCTCCCCGCACTCCTTGGGGGCCCCTGTGCCCTTCTTCTTCGGCCCCATGTCGTCGGGCCCGGCGGCGTCCGCGGCCGGCGGCCCCCCCTGCCTCTGCTGGCCGCGGGGCTGCTTGTCCTTGCCCGTGGCGGCTGCGGGGGCGGGCGGGCGGCTGCGGGAGCGGCGGGCCGAGCCTGCCCTGGTATTCGAATTACGGAGGCTGAACAAATATGGAAAACATTTGGAGCCGACTCGCGACTCGCCAAGCCTCCAAAGGCCACGGGGCGCCTGCAGCAGAGGGAGATTCGAGGGGGGTCGCCAACTGCCAACGCGCCTGGACGAAGCGCCTCTGCCGGCCCGGGCAGGCTCTGCCCATCGCGGGTGCCTTGGGGTGTGGTGTGTGTGTGTGTGTGTGTGTGTGTGCGTGTGCGTGTGCGTGTGCGTGTGTGTGCGCGCGCGCGCGCTTTCTTCTTACAACTTCAAGACTCTTTTGGTCGTTTGTGTTTCCTGTGAGGTACAATGCAAGGTGATGAATGTTTAAATCATTTGAGTTTAATTAATAGACAATTTAATCCAAAATAGGCATTCCTGGGCTCCAAGCTGTGAAGTCATTTCCAGAAGTTTAAGTTGTTCTTGTTTTCCAACAGAGGCATAGGCTCTTCTCTTTCTAAATTCTGTAGTCCAGCTGATAAAGGCGCTTTTCCCATTGAGTTGTTTGCTTTTGAAATAACTGTTTATAGAGATGTTGGAGAAAATTGTGAACTCTCTCACATGAATTTGTTTTTAAAAGCTCTTTTAATATAATGGTTTATATGGAGTCCTCAGCTAGTCTTCACTCATCTCCACAACACTGCTTTAGGGACTGTGCACCTTTGAGATGGATAATTTTGCTCACTCAGTCAACATTTAAGAGTTATTTTTAAAGTGCCTACAATGTGCTAAGATATAAGGATATTCAAGGTAGACCTGGTCCTGGCCCAGAGTCACAGAAGAAATCAATAAAACTGATTATTCTTAGTCACACATTACTCAGTAGTACTTAGAGCAAATTTCACTGAAACCACTAAGAAATGATCCCATCACTTTGGGGGTATTTATATCTCCTTTGGTATGATCATTGTAACATTCAGAAAGCTGTATTCAACAATAAATGATAGCCTAGTGTGGTGGTAGCTCATGTCTGTAATCCCTGCACTTTGGGAGGCTGAGGTGGGAGGATCGCTTGAGACCAGGAGTTTGAGACCAGTTGGGCAACATAGTGAGACCCTGTCTCTCCAAAAATAAAAAAATTAGTGAGGTGTGGTGGAGCGTGCCTGTTGTCCCAGCTACTCTGGAGGCTGAGGCAGGGGGATTGCTTAAGCACAAGAGTTCAAGGTTGCAGTGAACTGAGATTGTGCCACTGCACTCCAGCCTGGGCAATAGAGAGAGACCCTGTCTTTTAAAAAATAATACATAAATAAGTACATGATGTCGCCATGATGTTAGGATAAAGTCTACTGCTAGGTTCTTTGCTATCAGCTAATTTAAAGAACGTCTAACTCCCTGCTCTGTTTGCTTAGAATTATAAATTGATCATCATCAGCTCTCCTTGTAAACTGCCAAGTCCCCACAAAGGTACCTTTGAAGGTATAAGAGATAGTCACACTTACTTATTTTGTGAACTTCAGTGTTTTCTTGAATCTTCCTTCTGGACCAGTGAGAAAAATATGGTCCATGGAACAAATGCAATAGCTTCAAAAGTAGAATTTAAACCATACATCCCAGTTCCACACAGAGGCAGTAGAAACAGTGCTCACTCTCACAGAGAAACTGAGTGACTGAGGCAAGGTCATTGTCAGCTTTGGGGCCATCACACCATTAGGATTTCTATTGTGAACAGACAAAAGCTGGCATTACACCAAGATATCCTCCTGACTTCGGCCTGGCTGAAGACAAATGACAAAACAAAAAAATGCTTGGTTTTCCTATTTAAATATAGTAATCGTTTATAAAAAGCCTACTGACCCCCATAATATGCTGGAAAAAAAAAAGCCTACTGACTACCTGGAAATCAATTATTTGTTATTAATAATATGCCTACCAATTATTGAGTATTCTGTAACAAGTACATGCTAGATGCTTTACAGACTTTACCGTTACTCTTTACAACCACCTTATAATTGTAGTTTCCAATTTTAAAGATGAAAAAGGTTGAGTATCAGAATCATTAAGTTACCAGATTATTAAACCATTAACCTAGTTAGGAATGAGGGTAAGAGGAACCAGATGTGAACTTCGAAGTCATCGGTCTTGTGGATTACCTGTTTTATTAATTACTTCTTTTATATATATTGCCTATAGGCAAACAACTGAGTAGACTATTTAAATAGTTTGTGATTTTAAACTATTTAATTTTCACGGATAGTATTGTATCTGTCATAGCGTAGTTATTGCCTTGAAACTAAGACTATCTCAGTGCTTTACAAAAATGTCTTGATTCACCACCATAATATTTCTAATGGTTGCTGGAGACGGTTATTCCGATTATTACTAATTTATAACTAGATATAGGCTCTATTTGCTGATCATACTGCTGGGCTGTCATTTAGTTAGGAACAAAATATTCCTAGCCTCTTCCTCAAAACCTTAAATTAGATGCAAGTTAGAATAGTCAAACAAGATAATAGGATATTGCTGTAGGTTTGTCTTCTAAGTTTTGGAACTAGTGGCTTGCAGTTGTAAAACAGTTGTACATATTTTCTTATAATAAAGGCTTACTTTTAATTGCCTAGCTGAGACAAGTTACAAATGAAACCAGTGTTGATGAACAACATCCCAGATAAATTGTAATCTTTTAGTCTGATTACAACTGCCAACTTCAATTTTCAGCTTCCAGTGAAGAAGGCAGTGGTCTAGGGAAACTCACACCTGCTCAGATTTCCAAGCATGGTTGAGTCTGGGTTTGAGGTAGCCTGGTCTTTGGCAATACCATGAGATAATAGTGATGAGGATGGTATTTCCACTTAATTGAAACAGGAAAGTAGAAACAGAGAAGAGGGTGAGTTCTTATCAAATGGTTAGTGATAGAAAAAGTAATCAAGGCTAAAATGAGATCAGACCGTCGTTAAGGACACAACAAGGAAACTTTTCCTTTAACATATCCTTTCCACTGAGAAAAAGCGTCTAATTCGTCACATAGTTTAATAGAAATGAACGGGGTCTTTTTAGTACTCATAAATTATTATGTCATTGTTTATAGCGTAAGCAATAACCTCTTCAGATATTTATATTACCAAGAAAAAAGGCACAGGAGAAACAGTGTTTTCAGATACTCTTGACTGCTCCTATAACTCAAAACTGACAGAGATTGTACATTAGAAATTGCAGGAGAGTACGTAATATATGGTTTGAGATTATTTTGATCCTCTGGGGGAAAAAAAAAATCAAGCTTAGTATTTTTATCTTTGCAGTCTATCTCAAACTTAACATTATTTTGGAGTATTTATGCTTCAGAAGTTCAGAATAGGGAAGATGATAACTCCTTAAAACTAGTGTCATTAACAAAATGTCCTTAGGAAATCCAACTAGAAATAATCTCTAAACCAACACATTTTTGAGCACATGATCTTAGATTATACAAGAATAGAAAAGGATTACAGTTCCAAGGTCTGTATAAAGTCTTTTAAATATGTAATTAAGTATATATAAAATGTTCAATTAGATTTGATTTAAAGAAGTATCAAATACTCTGCATAAAACAATTGGGAATTAATTTGTGATATGTGGTATTATTGGTACCATACATCTCACTGGCCTCCATACCTAAAGTGACTCTAGGGATATTGCTGGTGTGTGTGTGTATGTGTGTGTGTGTGTAGATACTTATATTACCAAGAAAAGAAACCTTTTTTTCTATTTTCTTTATTTCTATGTCATTAATTCTAGTGTGTCTTTGGCTCATTTTTTTTTCTCAGAAGACTTGGCCCATTTATACTTTTTGCATGGCTGTTTGTATTTTCAAGTTAAATATCATATAGGCATATAGTTAAAAGAAGGCTTGTAACTTTCTCATTCTGTAGAGATTCTATAGAGATAATAACTATTAATCATTTCATCATGTATTTCACCTATTTATAAGATGCTATTTATAATATCAAATTTTTCTACATGTAATTTTGATGTTTCCACTGCACATGATGAAGTATAACAGCTAAATTTATTTTAATTGAGAAATACAGGGAGAAGAATGGATAAACAAATGGTGGTATATATCCATACGGTGGAATACTACTTGCCAGTAAGAAAAGGAATGAACTCTCACTAACAATGTGCTGAGTGAAAGAAACCAGTAATACATACTGCATAATTCCATTTATATTAAAATCCAAAAAAAGGCCAAACTAATCCATGGTAATAGAATTTGAAAAGTGATTGTGGAATCGGAATGAGAGAATTGACTAGAAAGGAGCAGAAGGTGACTTTCTCAGCAATGGAAGCAAGTCTTCTATATCTTGGGTGGTTGTCATATGTGTGTAAACAGTTGTCAAAACTCATTGAACAACTGTGTAATTGTATATAATGACACCTCAATTTTTAAAAATGTAGTAAAAAGAGAAATACAGGGAGTCACTGGATATCCATCAGTAATTAACAATAGAACAAGTAGGGATTTTTTGTAAATTTAAGTTATCTTACCAAATTCTCCTAATTTCTCTCCTGCCTTTCTGGATCCTCTGTATTAATTATCTATTGTTGCATAATAAATCACCCCAAAACTTAGTGGTTTGAAACAATAATAATTATTTATTATTTCATGGTTTCTGTGGGTCAAATATTCAAACAGCACACAGCAGGGATGGTTTATTTCTTCCTGTTATCTGGGTTCTCAGCTGAAAGATTTAGACTGGAGGCCTGGAATGATTTGAAGTCTTAACTGAGGCAGGAGGATCTGCTTCAAGGTGGCTAACTCATCTTGCGGGCATGTTGTTTCCTTTCTGTGTGACCTCTCCACCCGACCGCTTGAATATCCTCACAACATGGTGGCTTGTTTCAACCAGAAAGAGAGATCCAGAGACTGAGAAGGCAAGGTGAAAGCTGTTCTTTCCATTACGCAGCCTCAGAAGTCACTTAGCAACATCTGAGCCACACTCGGTTCTTTAAAATCAAGTCACAAAGTCCAGCCCACATTCCAGGTGAGAAG